CCGCCCTTCCCAGCCCCTCGAAGGGCGGCGGGGTGGGAGCGGGAGGCGCTGGGGGTGTGTGTGTGTGTGTGTGTGTGTGCGGGGTTTGGGGGGTGGCGGCCGGACACCGACAGGTAGCGGTGGCCCCTCCGGTAGCGGCGACAGCGGCCCCCGGCGGCCGCCGCCCGGTCTGGGCGCGGCGCTGTGCTCCCGCCTGCCGCCAGGCGGCGCTGAGGGGCGCGGCCGTTGGGGCCCTGAGCAGCCGTTAACGGTCGCCCCCGCCGCCCCTCTGAGGGGCCGTGAGGGGAGGGCGGCCGCCAGCGGGCCGCCAGCAGGCCGGGGGGAAAAAGGGGAGATTTCCGTGTGGCAGCGCTCCCTCGACGTACCCCTAATTCCACACGCCTGCGTTCCCTTTCTACTGCCGCATTATTTTTACCCATATTGTCCGATTTAGCGCTCCTTCTAAAACAACATGCCAATGGCGTGTCTGGCTGCTGCTACCAGAATCTTAGCCCGTGCTGTCACCATGTAGTTACCAGAAAATAAAACAAAAAAAAAAGAAAAGAAAAGGGAGAAAATACACAACACGATGAAGAAAGACACCCAGAGGCAAGACTGAGCAAGAACGCTTTGTCAGGAGGCCAGAATCCAAATCCTTCCTCCTCTTTGGCTTCATGGCTTGTTTCCAGTCACCTTAAGACTCAGGGGAAAAAGGTAAATTGAAGGAGCCATTCAACAGTGAGAAAGAACAGCATACCTTGGCATGGTGTAACTGGGTATGGTGATATTTACTATTTAGTCACTAAATATTGACATGTCAGGGTCACCTAATGGAAAATGAGCCAGGTAGTATAGAGCTTGATGTTCTGTTTCTACGATTACATTTCAAGTAGTCCTTCACCCAAAGTAATTTCTTTGGAAAAAGGTGGATGCAGCTGCAGAAGTGAAGGAGGTGTTCGGGAAGTCAGCTAAACACCTGGGTGGATTCTGCCCTAGCTGACAACCTCCATTTCTGTGTCATTTTCAGTCACCATCCCCTGAGGAAGGAGCTGCCTCTGTTTTGAGTACACACCAGCACAACTTGGGAATGCCAGGCTGTGTCTTTCCTCGTAAGTTAGATGTACCCAGACATGTCGTGTCTGGCACAGAGACCAGCTGGCATGGAATGATCTGCGAGTTGTTGAATAATATGGTTTATGTAGCTCTCTACCTTTTGAAGAGACAGTGGAAATTATCAAAAACTCCACATTAATCCCTTTTGTGAGGTAACTCCTCTATGAGTCTGGGAATGGGATAGCTGGCACGGGCCAAAGACACACCAAGGACAAATTAACATCATAGACAATTCCATTCCAATGCTCAGGAATATTCCCTTTAAATTTACTAATACAGGCCTGGATTCAACAGAGATATGAGGTAGATAAATAAACAGTCTGTTTCATTTTTATGCATGCAGAATCTGAGGCAAGGATCTATTCTGATTTGTTTACACGGCGTTATACAAAGATATGTAATAGCTCCCATGACTTTAGTGAAGTTAATTGAAATTCATACAGATTTAGGATGATAATTTAATGTTCCAATAGGTTACATTTTCTGAAGTACGTTTTCTTAGGGCTCTGCCTAAGCTAACTGCCTGGATGCTAACCACCTAAATGTTACCAAGCTCCTACTCTGCATATTTATTGCCAAAACTGCGATCCTCGAGACTTCCACACACCCTCAGTCTGACTCCTCAGGCTTCTGGAGTAGTAGGTTCACTGTTTACCATGACTGTTCACAGGTTCTTGGGCTTGTTCCCTAGATGCTGGGAGGCGCCTGACTCTTGTCAACGCTAAGCAGCCAGGATGATGAAGAAAGTGGTTTTTTTCCTGGGATTTACAAGATGTAAATTTTAATCCCTTCAGGCAGAGATGAAAGATGAACACACATTCCCAGCCAGGACAAAAACCTGCTTGCTTTCCTTGAAATGAGTTGGAGAGGGAGATATGAAACCAAGTCTCAGAAAGCAACATGAACCTGGGATGGCAGATCATAGAGGTAATGATATACAATGAGTATTTTGGCTTGTCCTGGAGGGGTAGATTTCATTTAAAACACCTGGTGTGAATTTTTGGTTTATTTTTAGAGGATGTCAAGTTAGTGAACTTGAACAATGTGCTCTTTTGACCAAGAAGGCCAATGATCTCCTGGGTTGCATTAAAAAGAGCGTGGCCAGCAGGTTGAGGGAGGTCATCCTCCCCCTCTACTCTGCCCTGGTGAGGCCACATCTGGAGCACTGTGCCCGGTTCTGGGCTCCACAGTTCAATAAGGAAGAGGAACTACTGGAAAGAGTCCAGTGGAGGGCTACGAAGATGATGAAGGGAATGGGGCACCTCTCTTATGAAGAAAGTCTGAGAGACCTGGGTCTGTTTAGCCTGGAGAA